AGCCTTCCTGATACGGTAGACATTATGTCTAACAGTTGTTATATAGCTATTAAACTCGACACTACCAGCCTGTCTAGTATTTCTGTTTTACCATCAAATACCAGACACATGATGCATGTCAGGTGGAAAAAAACTATGCACTCAATATAGATGCAGTATGCCATGAGTTCTGATTCTGAGAAAACAGTTTTAATTAAGTTCCTCGGCTTATTGCCAGGGTAGATTCTCTCTGATTAATAGCTCTTTCAGGCTGGACTTTGGCCTGATTGCAGCATTTTGAGAGCTCTGAAGGATATACATTTAACATGAATTTTGACAAAATGTCAGCACCAATTCTTATTTCATCTTAGTGCTACCTTCAAAATGATTGACCACAGAATGTTGGATAGGAATGTCTGGAATGCTTTTCAATTGGTTCAAGTTGTATTTAATAGGATGGTGTTATTTTGTCAAAATGGAACAGAATCCTGTTCAACCTTTACATGCTCCTAATAAGATGAATCCAGGATAATAGAATTGTTGGTCATAACCATGCAGACAGCACATGCTCACCCAACAACCTTAGCTCTGTAGATGCACTATAGAAATATTGATATGCATGTATATACATGCATTGATGATATGTATTAATATAAGATATGTTGAGTCTGGACGGGGTGCCAACTCATCACAGGGCACAATCACACACACACACACACACAGTCTCACACCATGGACAATTTAGAGATGCCAATCAGCCTAAAAGACATGTATTTGAACTGAAGGAGGAAACCAGCGCACCAGGTGGAAACCCCTGAAGCACTTGGAGAGCATGCAAAGTTTGTCCACAAAATTGCAAAACAAATGTGTTTAAATCTTTCATTTGTCAATTGGTTTTTGATACTATTGAATGTTTGTTTTAAATCTGTTTTAAACTACTTGTATACACTTTGGTTTCAAAGTCTGTTGTTTTTAAATGTGCTTTATAAACAACTAAACTAAACTGATCACTAATCCACTGTGATCCCCAGGTTAATATCCATCTCCAATGTAAGGCTTTGAATACACCAAGTAAACGATCTTAGAGTTTCCGTTGACTCAGATCTTTTTCAACAGTCATACTAAAGTGGCAACAAAGTTAGACTTCTTCAAAAAAATATAGGAAAAAAACTCCAAGAAGATCCTAAACATTTTCAAATCCAAATTAGTCCATTTTTATTTGTGCCTTTCAAAATTAATAAGCAATTGAACTTTGTCTATAGCATTTCTGCACTCAATTTCCAACACTGCAGCACAGACCAGGTTGAGACAATGTTACTTTTTCTACCATTTTAGGATGATATTTTATTGCAATGCTTTTGTGTCCTTGCAGAGACTGCTCATATCAGTAGTATGTATGGCATGATGACAGATAAAGTCCTTTTCTTGGAAAGTGTTGGACTTCTTTATAGAGCAATTCTGGTTAGTGGTGTGAAAAATGCGCAAATGTTAAAATGGACAAATTTTATTATTGATAGTGAATAGTAAAATGTTTTTTTTTTTTTAAATTCTCATATTCACAAATTCATTACATCATACTGGGTATTTATTTAATACTATATTTTATATGTAATGTTAAATGTATTGTGACTCAGGACTAAAAACAACACAATACTATGAAAAGAAAAGTCTTTAAAAAAATGATTCATGCTCTGCCATTATTTTGTCTTGATTTAGACCTCCAAACATGCTTCATGTGAATGAATGATCTGAACACACTTGGCTTGACAACTCAGTTGAACTAAATCCACATAGACAGTCTGCCTGCACTGAGCTCTCCTCACTGACACCAGAGTTCGGCTCACCTTTCAGGCCTGGAAAGCCCCTATCGTAGCTCAATCTCAGTCTAACAGCTCATGTTCAGGGAAAATGTACAGATGGAAGAAGCCTTGTATCCTTAGGAACAAGTGACTCAGAGTAAGAGTTTAATAAATGCAGAATATGCAAATGATATAAAATAATGCCAACATAATAAAATACTTTACATACATTAGATTTCCCCCAAATTCAACAGGAAAAGAAAAAAGATTACATCAAACCTTTGATCTTTCACATAGAATATTTAGATTGATCACGGAGGAGTCAGATTAGAATGAAAAGTGAAAATTAAAAAAATTCTGAAAAGTACTAAAAGCCGAATACCATTCAAGTAGAATGTGAATGAGCAATGAATGTTATAGAGATGTCTCCCACACAAGGTGACAGGTTTACTAGCTGATTTTAACACACTGTAAAAAATGACAGTATAACTTTACAGTAACTTACTGACAGCAGAGTTTTCATATTAGCACACTGTATAAAGTGCAAAGGTTTTCTGTAAGAACAGCAAATGTATTTTTAATTACACTGTATTTCCTCCTCACACCCACTGTTCCCAGATTAGGCTCGGCATCTACTCAACCCTGACCAGGATAAAGGGTTTTCTGAATAACGAATGGATGAATGAATGAATGAATTAATTAATTTTAACTCTTTCGTTGCCAAATAAACATCTCAAATTCAAAGCACAAGAATGAAATTGAGCTTATTGAAGCAATAATTTAATTTCTGAACCATCCATGAAACAACATATGAAATTACATAACAAGAATATTTTAAGATGAACAATTAAGTTACACAATATGAAAAGTGAGACACAATAGGGAAACAATCAACCCTAACCCTACTCCTGAATGCCTCTGGAACAATAAGAAAGAAAGAAGAAATAAAAAGCATGCTACATTTAAAATATCAGGCTAACAAACTTTAACTATATAGCTAGGCTAACATTACTTACAACATTACCTATATTTATGAATTACCTACATGTTCAACTATAAAATTTTAATGGTTAGACCTGGTGTATTTGTTGTACTAAAGCAGGATACAGATCACTGGTAGTAACATCATGCTGATCGTACAATGCCAGTAGGGGTGATAAGTTTTAACCCAAGGAACCATCGGTGCGTCCAGACTCACTATCTAGACATCATTAACTCTGGTCTATTGGTTTTAGTAGAGTTAGTGAATCATTCATGGTAGGTAGTGAATAATATACTTTAAGATGAATAACAGACAATGTGGAACAAAAATCTAACATAATAATAATAACCAAAATACCCAAGAACAATAATTAGATGGAGAGAAAACAGCAACAGAAGGGATATTGTAAGGAACTAATCTAAGTGAGAAATGGCACTACACCAACACTAGTGTAGAATTTCCATGGTATTACAAGAGGACACAAGCCAAAATTCAGGCCCAGTGAATCTTGGCAGTGGGCATCTCACATTTATAAAAATCTGCAGCTGTTACTGTTGGGATATGAGAGTCTAATAACACTTGCATATCTTAAGTATCCAGTAAGTCAACTGTTCCAAACCTAACCCACAATAAACTGTAAGAAATTACAGACTGCCTCTCAGCAGATTCCACCCCAAAATGTGTTAGGATAAGTTTGTTCCCCAGAGGCCAAATTATCAAAGGGCCAATTCACTTCAATCTCAGGAGTGTATAATACCACCTAAAGTGACATTCACACAGTTATAGCATAGGAGCAGCAGTGGGACATCAAAAATGTCCCATCCCTGAACAAAGGGTTTTGTGACTGTAATTATCATTCAGAAAGACACCTGTCTCGATAATGCTATCACCTCACCATATGGGGGTCACACCTGTAACAACATCAGTACATCAAATGCTATCCTTGATGTACATTTAGAGGGAAACTTTATTTACATTATATACAGAAAACCTGGTTTGAAACACAGTATAAAATATCTGTGCTGATATTGACCCGAAGTGCTTCATGTACTTTGTCACTGCCATGCTTCAATAAAGTTATTCTTCTTTAGATCTTCAACATCCTCATCAATTTTTCTTACAATACAAAGGATTAAGAACACACTAGAATCATCACAGGCTAGTATTGCTTATGAACCTCATCAACTTTAACATGATCTATTACATGCTAATAAGATGAATAGATTGCTAAAGCTCACAGTAGCAGCTGTCCTGCTCAGGCCTGTTGTTTCACTGTTACAGCAGGTTTACATAATTAGCCAGTAGCTAAGCCACTGCCTTGATGAAACAAATAGACCTCCACATCCAGACAGAGACCTTGTACACTATGTGCAGTTTCTATGAAGTCAGTAAACATAATTAACCAGTAAACAGAGAACCGTAGAAACCTGCCAGTCATGAAGTTGCAAAAAAAAAAAAAGAGGCTTGGCTTTAGAAGAGTGACATGTATTTACTGTACATGTAGGCTAAATAAGTGACCGTATTTTACTGTTGAAGTGATCAATTTGATTTTTCATATTTTAATAAAGAGATAGACAACTAAATCATTTCTCTAATAAAAGAGAGCTGGGGTAGAATGACGTGATGTGTGAGACTGTTAATCCCAATGTAAATGTAAAGCAGCTGCTACTTATGGCTACTGGTAATGTAAGATGACTTACTGTGTTACTGTACACGACAGACTTAACATTGACCAGGGTTAATAATGTGGCAGTGCACTTAAATGGTGAACCGTGATTCGTTTGAGCACCCCACTAATCTGCTGTAAAGCTTACCTGCAAAGACCAATTCTCTTTTAAAACTCTTGACCTTTCCTTATATTGCATTGAGGACCTAGGTAATTCAACTTTTAAATTGTTTGCTGCTCAAGAGTTATAACATGGTAGTTGTCTGAGTAAATAAAGGTTTGTTTATGTTATGCTAAAACCTAATCACCACTCTTGCATTGAGTCAAATACAGGTCGAAATTATTGTTCACTTCTTAAAAAAATTCACAAATATACTAAAATGTGTAGGTGTATTTGACCATAAAGAATATGAAAAGTATCTAGTTACAAAATTAGGAGTTTGCAAACAGAAATGGAGATAATTATTCACTCAGTATACTCTGTGTACATTTTGGCAGATGCCCTTATCCAGAGTGACTTAGATTTAGCAGTTGAGGGTTAAGGAACTTGATCAAGGGCCCAACTGTCACAGTTTGGCAGTGCTGGGGTTTGAACTCATGATGTTCTGGTCAGTAACCCAACGACTTAACCACTGAGCTACCACTGCCCATGCCCATATATGGGAATGTTTTGTGCATTTTGCTCTTTTTTTTTCTTTTCTTTTTACACGTCGGCACTGCAGTGGCTTAGTGTTTAGTATGTTTGCCTCACACCTCCAGAGTTGGGGGTTTGATACCTGCTTTGTGTTTAGAGTTTGAATGATCTCCCTGTGCTTCGGGGTTTCCTCCAGTTACTCCAGTTTCCTCCTCCAGTCCAAAGACATGCTAGGCTGATTTGCATTTCCACATTTTCCGTAGTGTGTGAATGTGTGTGCGATTGTGCCCTGAAATGGGTTGGCACCCGATCCAGGGTGTCCCCTGCCTTGTGCCCTGAGTTCCCTTGGATAGTCTCCAGGATCCCCTGTGACCCTGTGTAGGATAAGCAGTGTGGAAAATAGATGGACGTACGTCTGCACCTTTGAGTTCACTTGGCCATTTACTTACACTGTCAATAACTCTCCTTCCTTAAAGCTGGGGTACCCATAATGGTACATCTTTGGTACATTTGAGTCTCGTGTACATTGTCCGTAATAAGGATCTAGGATAAAGTATAAAAGGAATTACGCACATTTCTAGGCAAACAATGTGCACCAACGCAGTGACAACTAAATGTACATTTTACTACCTGCATGTACATCTGCATGTTTCAGCACGTTTGTGAATATCATTCTGTAAGTGTAAAATCTTGCCGACTCTTATTTATTTTCGCGTCAGAGGAGCTGTCCACGCTTGTGGTGCTGAAATTCCTCGCAAAAATCGCCGGTTTTCCCTTGAAAACGTTGTGTGTTTGTCTCTGCGAGATACTCACATTTATACTGACCTGACAGAATTAACACAAGCTCGTTCTTGTTTCTAAACTTCAGCACATCAATCACTCATTCAGGTTATGCTGGTGTACTGAGGAGTGTACTGTTTACGTAATACAAGCATATATATATATATATATATATATATATATATATATATATATATATATATATATATATATATATATATATATATATATATATATATATATATATATATATATAAAAAAAAAAAAAAAAAAAAAAATTTACTGACTGTAACTATTTCCTTCATCAGATAACGTCATTTTGGAGTGGCGTTTTACTTTTGATATATTATTAGGCTATTCTTATTGTTGTTGTTATTATCATAATCATAATCATCATTGTTATTATTATTATTATTATTATTATTATTATTATTTTATTATTATTATTATTATTATTATTATTATTAAAGTGCCCCGAACGTGGACTATTGTAACTCAGGTTTTACTTTTGGTCCAAAACAGCGTTGTGTTGGGGATTCGGCCTTGTCCACAGGATGTAACAAAACACGCCGGACACAACATCCTAGTTTAAAATAGCCGTTTTCGCATTTCGTCACTGTCTCTATATTTGTAGATATGCGTATTAAAGGCAGGTGGCACCGCAGCAGAATAGGCGACGTAATGGAAATGAAGCGCCAGGACAGCTTACATAAAGGTATTAAGTTAGTCTATGACCTTACATCAGGCAAAATGTAAGAATTATTTGTCTGTATCGTTTAGAAGCCCCTCGGCTGGGCTCAGGAATGTCTGTGTTCACTGCTCGTGTCACCATCTGAAATGAGAGTCTGGAGCGCCACGCTGACAACTGTGGGGAAGAAAATCATCGCAGAGTGACAACTCCACTAGGACTGTACAACAGGGGCGAGCAGTAGGGCTTCCTGGGGAATAGTGTCTCTAATATTTACCCACATAAAAGAAAAATAAAATAATAAAATCTTCTAATCAACCAAGTCCTTCACCACAAAACAATGGCAGCATCAGAGACGGCACTGATTTACGGCGGGGACACACACTGCGCGCTGTCCAGCAAAGTTTTACGCGTCGTGGCGGCTCCAAAGGACTCGAATTATGTAGATCTGAACGAATTGCTAGAACTGAAACTGGGCGAGACGAAAGCGGTGCAAGTACGTTTTCCCGGCCAGAAGGACACCCTTCAGTGCGTCCGGCTTCCGTCGGCGGAACATCTGCCCAGTCCCGCGCGCAAATTTGTTAATCTGGAATGCTGGGAGAATGGCAGAACAGAGGGAGCAACAGAAACAAAAACAGCTGGTTCTTCTGAAAGACATGGAAACCTCAGTGACTTTCCCGAGTTGCTCGAAGAGCTCGAATCGGAGAGAGCACCGGAAAATTCGGAAAAAGAGACCAAAGTACTCGACGATGGTGATTTACAGCGCACGGATGTGTATCTCAGCGAGAAAAGCGTGTCGGACGACGAAGTGGATTTGGTGATCGCGGATTACTGCGTACATGAATTCGCCGATGATGAGGCTCACTACATCACCACGCACGAAATTCATCTTTCCGAACTCGATCACGACGTGGACTGCGATTTAGAAACAGCATCCACTTGGGATATCGAGGACGACCACCAGGTCTATTCGTTCGTGGACTACGCATCTGCCAACAGCGATGAACCCACAGGAGCACAGGTGGGAAACAACGAGGGCGAGGCTGTTAGGACTACTGCAGTGGCATGCAGTCAGGCAGAAAGTGAGCCGAGCGACAGGACCAGAAGCGCCACCTCAGACGAGAAAGCGCCCGAGTGCAAAGGCAAAAGCACAGGCCACATTCATCTGTCAATCAAAGCCACTTCCAGAGCTATAAACAAACCTAGCAACGTCCAAGAAAATGATGGAGGCCAGCACCATCATGCCATTCACACTGAGGATATGAGCCATTATGTCTTAAAGGACACAAAGGGGGAAAAGGTATGCGATGGAGCAAAGTGTTTAATTGCTCTGCCCGGGCGTTTGCACTTTGGAAGCAAACACAAAGGCAAAGATGTTACAGCGTACTCCAGCGGCACATCCAGCGCTGTTAGTGAGTTGGACGATGCCGACAAGGAAGTGCGCAACCTTACGGCCAGAGCTTTTAAAAGTCTGGCCTACCCGTATCTCGATGCCATCAATTTCAACACTTCCAGCGAGTCCTCGGCTTCAGAGCGCAGCAAAGGGATCAACAGGTGGTCAGCACTTGTTGATCTAAAGTATGGCAACGTAAACGTGTCCAAAGGAGGCGGTAACAATATAGTGGTCCATCAAAATGCCGCGTCTAATTTTCAGTTGGCAAAAAGGACGGATAGTAAAGGGATAACGGGATTAACTCTGACCAGTAGAAGGGCGCCCCCAGTCGAGATATTTGCCTTGAACGGCAATCTGGTGAACCCCAAAAACGCATCGTCAACAAAACAAATTGAGCTCATGGGCAAAATTGGACAGGTTCAGAGCGGGGTAATAAGGCTAACTGAAACGCTGAATTTTCGCTGCAACGTTAAAGCAGGTCCGAATGCAAACGAAAGGCGCGTGAAATCCGCCCGAACTGCAGGAGGATCACGTTCCGCAGATGAGGTTACAAACCCTCGGCAAAAGGCGCTCAGCAAGCCACCGTGCAATTCAGAAGAAGCCATGGAGGACGTGCACAAGAAATCCATATTTGCTTCGAGCATACTAAAAAATGTCATTTCGAAGAAAATGCAGTTCGAGCAGGAGCGCAAGATGGAGCGGGGAGAGATCTGCGAGCCGGGCAGTCACGAGCACGAAGCATACCGAGACAACGCTGCGCTCAAAGCACTACACAGACAAAGCTCGAAACTCTCCGAGACAGGCTCCGACTTCAGTATCGTGTGCCTAGATGAACTCGGAGACATTGGAGACAGCGGATCCTGCGACGCCAAGGCCAACGAGCGCCACGAAGAAACTCTCGCCTTCGCATCGGAAACCAATTTAGAGTCGCAGAACTGCGCGGCATTCGACACTAAAAAAGGAGCTGCGGACGCGTCCAGAGGCGCACTGATTCGGAGCCAAAATAGCGCTTTCAGAAGCTGGAGGGACGAAGAGGCAGAGGTTCAGCCTGAGCGCAAAAACGAGCAAACGGACTCGACGAACAGCAAGCTTACAAAAATGTCACGCTTATTTGTGCCAAGCATCCAAATAGTGTCCGGTGAGAGAAAGCACGAGAAGCCTGAGCCGAGCGCGGATTGTAACCGAGAAAAGAGAAGCATGGACATTTTGTGTGTATCAGACGCCGCTCAAAAACCTGGAGCGTCGAAGTCGCCAGAAATTAAAATAAGTTTACGGAGTCTAAGAGACAACCGGAGCAACCCGTTGAGCATCGCTAAGCTCCTCACTCCCAGTACAGGCTCTAGTGCTGGCGGGTTGATGAAAACAAGCGATGAGCCAAAATACCAAGCGCTCACTGCTGCACTGAAGAGTGACTCTTCAGACAAAATCCCACACTTCACAGTTAGAGATGTTCGAGACAAGGCAAAGTTGCAAGCGCCAATACACCAGGTTAGAGATGTGCGCAAACTGGTTAAGAGCTCGTATCACTTTGTATCTTTGGACAATAACAGAACGGACATGGAGCACAAGACCTCCAAACAGAACGCGTATCGGAATCCGACAACCCTTCCCCCTATTGTGATTAAGTGTCATTCGGTGAATACAAATAACAATGCGAAGCAATCAGAAAAACTCTCAGATTCCTCCGATCATAAACCGGTTGAGGATATCCTAGAGGCTGATGGGTCACATCCTCAGGAGTCTATAGATGGCATCAATACGGGCTTGGCCCAAATAAGCAAACCAACTGACCAGGTGTATTTAGCCAACATAAAGCAAGAGGAAACCCTTGAATTAGGAATCGAGACAAAAACCATCACAAAGAGGCAAGAGAAAGTATGTGACCCAGGTGAGAAAAAGTCTGATTCCAAGATGGCTGCTCTGGAAAAACTTCAGGCTGCTGTTAAAACAATGGAACAGCTTTATGTGTTTGACAAAAATGAGTGGAAGAGGAAATCTGAGCCACAACCGCTAACAGACAGTCATGTGCTTTCACTCCTTAGTAGTGAGCATAACGGAGGTGATGAGCAAGACCAGGGGAACGCTAGTTCCTCATCAGTCACCATGAGGCGAGACTCATTTTCAAACCCAGATAAGATGGTAACTGCTGGACA